GGAAGCTATGGGGCATGGAAGGAATGGGAGGAAACCAGGTCAGTGAAGTGGCCTGGAGCCAGAACGTGAAAGCCAGGCTAAGGAATCTGTTGTTCATTTGCTTGTTTCTGAAAGGCAGTGAGGAACCATTATTATTAGAGGTTTTGAAAAGTAATTTGGGGAGAAGAGGGGGAAGGGGCTGGAGAGGAGAAAGATTAAAACAATGGTTCTCAGCAGTGATGGGAAGTGTATCAGAATAACCTGGGAAGCTTTTGCAGGATCCACAAACTTAGTCTTTTCCCTTAGTTTTCTATCTTTTCCCTCAGTCAAGTTTCTGATGTGATACGGGGTGATGGGAAGATAAATAAGGGTATTTTGAAAAAGCTTGCTGGGTGATACAGATATATTCTGCCCTCTGCTATTGCATTAATCTCGTCAAGAGATGTTCACAGAAGGCTGAGACACTGGAGACAAGAAAGGATGATTTGAAGGATGCATGAGAGTTGGATTTAACAGGATGGGTTGGAGGAGGCTGTGATGGAGAAGAAACACTTACATACTTAGTTATGTAAGTAACTGGGAAACTGAACTGAAATGAGTCCAAAAAGAGGAGCAGGGTCTTTGACAAGATTATGGATTCTGCCTGACACAGGTAGAACTTGAGGTCTCTGTAGGCAGTTGGTAACATAAGCTGGAACTCAGGAGAGTTTAAAACCACACATACCCAAGTCAGTTATGAAACGATAGAAAATACTACATAAATGTTTTTAAAAGACAACAGAAAACCAGAGACAAGGGAGAGTTGTATTGGCTGGAACAGACAGATAAGTCTTTGTGGAGAAATGGAACTTGAGTTGCATCTCAAAGCGCTAATAGAAAATTCAACTCGAGGAGATTAAAAATGGAGATTATTTGCAAAAAAGTATGGGGTAAGAAAGAAAAATGATGTTTCAAGAGGGCAGGATAGTAATATAAATGACTTAATAATAAATCGTAGTATACCTTCATTTATTTTTCACTCCCAGAAAGAGCCATTATTATTCACAATTTATAGATGAAGAAATGGGTTCAGAAAGGTTCAACAAATGGCCCACTTGTGTCCAAGTGGAAGTTGTGCCTTGACTCTCAATCATTTAAACCCAAACTCTTCTACTGATCCATGAGATTGTGTGTCCTTTAAGGCAGGCTTCAACCTCCTAGATAGTGTGTAGCTGGAAAATAGAGTAGACTCTCAGTTAATATTTGTTGAATTACTGAAACATATCTG